CTGATGAGAAAAACAAATGTTTTAAAAGATGCATCAGAAGTTAAGAAAGTCACTTGCTTCTAAGAATGATTTCTTTAGTCTACGGCTTGATTTTCCTAATCACAGCTTTTTAATTTAATTTAATTTAATTTTTATCAAGTGCGGTGAATGTGGGACAGGGATACAGGAAACACACTGGGGGGGGGGGGCAGCAGTGACCACAGGGTGCTTCAGCGACTCAGTGTCTGTTGCCAGCCAGGGATGGGCAGCACTTCTGTGCTGATGTTAGAATTCTGATTATCGACAAGCTCTTCACCGGCACTGAGGGAACTAGTTTTGGGCCCCTTTTAGATTGCTTCCTAGAAAACCTATGGAAAGCCCTCCCTCTCCATTATCTCTGGGAGATGGCTCAGCCTAATCATAATTTCCTAGTTACTTGGAGGATATTGACGGCCAAAGTTTGGAAAGTGAGATAGTATATAATCACCAGTTCTCGGAAGCCATGGCAGCCGATTCAATTACAAACAGAGTTTATGGACAGTGTATTTATGTTCCCTCGTCGGAGGGACAGTGGGAGGTTCTTTCATTTTCACTGGTTACTGCTCTGGGTTAACAGGGTCGCACGCAATGACCACACATCAAAAGGAGACACTTCTCGGCACCGCTCTTACAGGCCTTTTACATCGCCCCTTAAAATGTGGCAATGAGAGGATAAAGACATAGGTTCTAGTATTTTTTTAAAATCCTTTCCTTTCCATCCACAACTCACCAACATTTATAATGAACCATCATCAAACCACTTCCCTCTGCCATTCTGAAACCAAGGACTGTAACTGTAGAATCACACATGCAGGTTGAGGCCGTGCACTGGCATGGACATCATTTTAAAACATGGCTGTTCAATAGGTCCCTGTTCCAAAATCACTGGTTCTCTTAAATAGAAAAGTAAACTTTCACCCAGCATATCAAAGTGGCTCTCAAATGAGAAACATTTAGTAATAAATATTTCCCACCAATATTGTGAAAGGGTGACAGTAGGGACAACAGAGCATTCCATACAGAGCATTCTAATAATTCCCGTGCTAGAGAGAGGAGGTGTCCCCGTCATCTAGGGCTTTTATTCTTCAGGTATTTCATCTTCTACGACAGGGTGCATCATCCAAAACAGGCTCACATACTTATTAGCCAACCCAGCCTGCCATTAGGTTAAACAAAATTCCTTCTCTGGAAAAAGGGGTTAACTAGATTTGTATTCATATAGAAGCCAGGCTTTTAATATTCTGCAAATGTTAACAAAGAAAGATGATAATGTTGAGTTAATATGGGTTAAGCATAAAATGAAAATAAATTTTTCTGATTGTGAGGTGTTGACACTTTTTTGGCGAGGGCTGCCAGCCTGTTCCTGAAAGCTGTGTAATTACAGAAGGCTTTTCCCCTCCTTCCCCCTCCTGCTTTGAGCCTACCCACATTAGTAATGACCCCTTCACTGCTTCAAAAACCACTAATGGTCTTCAGCACGGGCAAGAAAAATGAACAGGATAAATTGGAATCCACAGTCAGTAATTTGCATCCTATGAGGCTGCTTTGGCCACCTCACACTCACGACTGGCCATCAATCGTTGCCTGTCAGGTGCTGTACTCTGCCACCATGACAAATACTCCTCCTAACACTCTGATTCGCCCAAACAATGTAATTGTCCTCCGTGCTCCTTTTGGTAATGGAGATAATGAATGACTGCACAAACACGTAGGATTGCTCATCACAGACGCTGGGGTGGCTTCAAGCTGGAAAAGGCCTAGGGTACAAATTTTAATTGACTGAAAACACAGGTTGGGGCGAAAAGGACGCCGTCAACAACAAAAAATCCCCGAGTCTTCCTTGTCCTGGTTTTTTCCCCCTGCCAAATCCAAATCAAGGAGGACCTTCTGACTTTTTGCCCCTCAAAGATTTCAAAAGCCTAGGTCTGCAGGTCCAATGGCAGTACTTCCTACAAATAACAAAAATGAACATAAGGGCTCATCACCTGAGTGTATAGCTCTGAATTGGTACTGTCATCTGTATATGCAGCGTTTTCTTTTTTGTGTGTTTAGTCTTGCTCACTCTGGTGATGCTTTTGCCTGAGTCAGTTCTGACAAATGTGGGTTTGGTGTGTGTGCATGTGTGTATGTGTGTGTGTGTGTGTGTGTGTGTGTGTGTGTGTGAGAGAGAGAGAGAGAGAGAGAGAGAGAGAGAGAGAGAGAGAGAGAGATTGACAGAGAGAGAGAGATATTGACAGAAAGACAGAGAGACAGAGAGAGAGAGGGAGGGCAAATACACATACACACATATACACAGAAAATATGTAGATGGCATTAGGGATTAGGATGCTTAGGACATATAAGGGTATAAAGGTGATGTTACTAGAGAGCCAACTCATCCAAGTATGACTCTAAATTCTGATTGACTAAAAAGAATTCTTTCCAGTGTTTTATTAGAAATTTAGTCAAATGACCACAAAATTACATAAACAGCATGTTTTATCTTGGGAATTCCTGAGCTGAATTTTCACTAGAAAAGTATTTTCAAATTCCACTCACAATCATTAAAAAAATTGGGACCTTACCAAAATTCACCTTGCACAGATGGCTTTTGTGTTTAATTAATAGGGAAGACCATGATAACTTTAACTTGTTTAAATGGCAGCCTGTGGTTTTTGAACATTCACGATGCTGTGCCCCTTTTCCACATGAAGTGGCCGGCTGATCTGCAAGTGTTCTGGCAGTCAGCCACTCCACTTCTAAAATTAAAAAGGGGATGGGAAACAATCAGCTTTCGGGGGAACTGCGATCCCGCAATGTGTTTTGGATTAATTTACAAATATATGTATATTTTTAAGGCCAAACTGTGGAACTAGAGAATGTCTACTCCATGGTCTATCATATGCATTTTTCGACTTTATTAGAACAGACATCATATTGAAATAATAAACATGGGAAGGCTTCACTTCTCCTTTGATGTATATTACTAAATGTCTGACTGGCTCAAGTTTAAAATAAACTTTGGTATGTTTGCACTTGAAAACTGGAAGTAGACCACAAGCAGTAATTTGTTGTCAGTTTCCATATTCTTGGACTAAAGCTATAGTTTAGTCTATTCGCTGTTGGGGGCCAACCCACTCTGGTCCGGTGGCCCAGAGGTGTCTCAACTTACTCATAAGAACACACAGTGTAATACAATAGTGATGATGATGATTCCCTTCGTCAAGAAAGACCCTGTGTAGGTCAAAGCTTTTCATATTCCTACACAACTCTAAGGCCACTGTTAAACAGAAAACGTGATTCACAAAAGTCCTCTTACTCTGAATAACGGACAGTTGTTCAAAATGTTGATAATACACGACTCAGTGTAGATAGAAAGTATTTTTAATTGCCTTTTTAAAGACTCATTTATAAAGTAGATGCTATTTTTATTTAAGATACTGACTTTGGGTGGGTGAAAGGGATCAAATATATAGTGATGAATGGAAACTAGACTTCTGGTGGTGAGCATGACAGAGTACATACAGATATCAAAGTATAATGCTATACAACTGAAACTTGTATACAACGTTATTAATGATGTTACTTCAGCTAAAATGGAATCACTGGCCTTAGGCCTTCTTCTTTTACCCCCAAGTTAACTCTTTCAGGGTTAACTTGGTTTAGCAAGTGTCTGGAATTAAATCTACAATCTATAATAATAACAGTGTAATAATGCTAATTAGACTGGACGTCCTTCTGGCTGACCTTCTGGACAAAGCTGACTGCCTGAGGGAAGCCCGGGTCCTGGGTGCCCGAGGGAAGGCAGTGCCGGCAGCTGGAGAAGGAAGGCCTACTCTTGCACAAATTTCATGCATAAGCCTCTAGTATCCTTATAATACATCAGTGCAACAGTGTTTGGGTGAAACCACTTAATAATAATTTTTGTTTGTGATTAACCCTTCTCCAATGATGTCCAAAGGGGAAGTGATTTATCGTAAACTTTATTCCATGTTGAAAAAACGAATACTAACATTTAAAAATATTTCAAGTGATACTTTTAATCACCTCATGAATTAGAAGTATAAAACAAAATTTAAAAGATAGTATTTGGAAAGATAAAAAATTGGGAATACCCTAAATGTCTTTCCACTGGATCACAGTTAAATAAAATGTGAGTTGTTCATGAAAAGGTATCCCCATATATTGTTGAGTGAAAAAAGCAAACTGTAGAACTATAAGTATTACAAATTCATAGAAAAGGTAAACAGATAAAGAAACAGATAAATACAATTTAACATACACATATCTACAGTTGTAGTGCAAGAAAAAATCTAGAAAAAATACACACTGAATAATGGCCCATGTTGTGTAGAGCATAGGAGTAGAGGCTTTTACTTTTTGTTTATATCCTCATATTTTCTCTGCATATGTATTGCTTTTAACATTTTTTAAAAAATCCAATATAAATTTTAAAAGTATAATTAACTTATTATAATTGTAAATAATTTATATATTCCACAGTTCTTAAAAAATAGCAATGTAATGTTTTTGTGTGATGAGATATTGTTTCACTAGATATTTTTGTTATTTTTTAAAATATATTTTTAATTATTTCAGAGAGGAAGGGAAAGGGAGAGGGAGATAGAAACATCAATTGGGGATGGAGCCTGCAACCTGGGCATGTTCCCTGACTAGAAATTGAACCCTGATTCATAGATCAACATTCAACTTCTGAGCCATGCTGGCCAGGCTCACTGGCTATTTCTAAAAGTAGGCTGTGGCTAAGATAAATCCTGCCTCTTAAGTTACTGCCCTACCCTCTGAGTTGGACTTACTGAATGGTCTATAACGTTCTAGATAAACTCCTTGAAGAACAATGTGCGACCTGTCAAATTACTTCTGAGATGATGTAATATAATCATTAAGACAAATGTTCCAGTCGCTTGTTTGGCAGGATCTTAGTTTGAACAAATATTTGGAAGCTGAGTATTATGAGTACCTCTTCTTTTTCATAACTCTCT